GATGTTACCCACGTCGCCTCATTTGGACGTCTCTGCTATGTTCGTCATACCGCCGACACTTACTCCCGCCTTCAGTGGGCTACAGCTCATAGCTCCGAAATAGCCGATGCCGTTGTTACTCGTCTTTATTCCTGTTTTGCTGTCATGGGACTTCTGGCGACTCTCAAAACGGAGAACGCTCCAGCTTTTCCCTCTCAAAAACTTGCTAATTTTTTAACGCTATATTCTATTCAACATATTGCTGGAATTCCCTTTAATAGCCAAGGACAAGCCATCACTGGACGTGCAAATCGTACTCTCAATCTTCAGTTACAAAACCAAAAAGGGGGAGCCCGGGAATCTCCTCATGGACACTTACCCTGTGCCCTTTATACCCTTAATTTTTTAAATTTTTGGCAGGACCTGCATGCCTCGGCAGCAGAGCGTCATTGTGCCTCTTCCCCTCCTTTGCAGAAAGCCTGTGACCTGTCACGCTGCCACGCCTACTGGAGGATGGGTTGAGGGAGAAGTTCTTCAATGGGGTCGAGGACATGCTTATGTCTCCACAGGACAGTGCTGTGAGTGGGTTCCTGTATGACGACTCAAAAGAAGATATCCCAACCAAGATGCAAAAGAACATGACACCGTGGCGCCCCAAGCAGCAGAAGAAAAAGCAGGCGGTAACGTTAGCGCTGTGGTTACCCTTTAACCTACCCACTTTTCTATTAATTTTATATAATTCTCTGAGATCTTTGCGGTTGGTCAAGTTAAATCTGCTGATGCCATGCATGCATATTGGGCTTACGTTCCCTATCCCCTCCTCCTTTTTTAAAGCTGTATCTTGGGGTGAGCCAGAAGTTCTCATTTATACTAATGATTCAGAACGGCTGCCCCCTGCATTCCAATATCAATCAGTCACCGCATCCCGCAGGTGAAGGGAGGGTGATTTCTAACTATTCTACTTAAGCTCACGCTGTCCCGTCTGTTTCGGAGCAGGAGGTCATTGTTTAGCAGCCTCTTATCATCAGGCATGGGGTTTACAATATGATTCCTCCAGGTTTGCCACCCGTACTGCGTTGTTATCTGTGAAAGGGTTTAAAGGAGTGGCGTCTAATCTGACCGACAGACCCCCATCCCTGCCTCTTTGTTCTACGCCTCATATTGGAGCCCCTACGGCTCATTTTGAGTGGAGCGTATGTAGAGGAAAAGTCTTAAAGAGATACACAATAATCCCAAAATTGTTGATTGGAGCCCTTATGGCGACTTTAAAGAAAAGTTTTCCGGCCGCTCCCTACGGTGGCGTGGCGGGTCAGTGGAAAAACATCCAGGCCATCGCTAATGAGATGGTTGTTTGGCACGATAAAGGCCTTTCCCCTCCGCAGGCTCACATACTTGGAAACTCAGAGAAACAAGGACATATTTGGAAACTTTTGGCTGCTAGAGAAAACCTTAAGGTTTGGGTTGGAAACATGTCATCTGATGAGAAAGACGGGATTAAAGTGTCTCTTCATCATAACTGCTCTACATCCCTACGGGCGTGCGTACCTTATCCCTATCTCTTACCCACGGGAACCGTTTATTGGAATCAGTCTAAAGGAAAGTTGACTTGCCCCGGTAATTATGCCTTATTCACTTGTATGAATTCCACTTCTTGGGCTGCTTTCAATAAATACTTACATAGTCTGTATATCCTGAAGGCTCGTGCAGAGATATGGTTGCCTGTCCTCCTATCCCGACCTGGAGGCGATTCAGCCCTAGGCACCACTCTCTTATTTTTGAGACAGAGTCTCGCTTTGTTGCCCAGGCTAAAATGAGTGCCGTGGCATCGGCCTAGCTCACAGCAACCTCAAACTCCTGGGCTCAAGCAATCCTCCTGCCTCAGCCTCCCGAGTAGCTGGGACTACAGGCATGCGCCACCATGCCCGGCTAATTTTTCCTATATATATTAGTTGGCCAATTAATTTCTTTCTATTTATAGTAGAGACGGGGTCTCGTTCTTGCTCAGGGTGGTTTCGAACTCCTGACCTCGAGCAATCTGCCCACCACGGCCTCCCAGAGACCTAGGATTACAGGTGTGAGCCACTGCGCCCAGCCCACCACTCTCTTAAATAAGTTCACTTCTCTGCGAGTTTGAGTTTTACGGAGAAAAAGAAAAAAAAAAAAAAAGTTCACTTCTCTGGCCCATAGAACAAAAAGAGCCATTGGCTTTATAATTATGGCAGTAGTTGGCTTAATCGCCATTGCCTCCCCAGCTTCTGTGCCTGGGGTAGCCTCACATCACTTTGTGCAAACTGCTGACTTTGTTTGTAGATGGCATGAAGACTCTCACAGATTATGGCAACATCAACAAGAGGTTGATACTCGTCTGGAAGGAGAAATTATTCAGTTGCAGAGTACAGTTCAGGGGCTGGGAGATCAGATTCAGGTTTTAACGACTCAATCTTTTCTCCGTTGTGATTGGAACTCTTCTCGGTTTTGTGTCACTTCCATTCCCTTCAATAGAGTCGATCGACACTGGATGTCATTACAAAAGCTGTTAAATGGAGGCCAGAATTTAACTGATGACCTCCAAAAGCTGGAACAAGAGACCACGTCTACTTTTGAAGAAAATTTGTCGGATTTTAATAATGAGGAGTTCTTTTCCGGTCTAGCCAATGGATTATCTCAGGCCAACCCCTTGGCCTCCCTGAAAACTATGCTTAGTAGCATTGGAAGTAATCTGGGCATCCTCTTGTTTTTATCACGTATTGTGCTTTTAATTTACAGGTGCTGGAAGAAAAAACAAGTGATTCAACAACAGCAAAAACAAAACATCATGGTCATGTTCCAGCGTGTTCGCTTTTAACAATAAGAAAGGGGGAGATGTTGGGGACTAATAAAACACGTATCCAGTTTAGAGTTAAGTGACAGAGTGATGTACTTGCTCTGTCCAGGACGTTTGAGAGAAATGTGTTACGGACAAAGTCCATGTAACAAACGAGGTTGCTGCTTAGAGGCATAACAAAGGGTCTGCAAATAGGCAAGAGCTGCCCAGCCCCACGTTAATAGGGGACTAGAGGCCACACGATAAGCACATTGTTCCTCTTATTGTTCCTTGGCCCTGTAAGATGGCTGGATAGTCAATGACAGGTAAGATTCCTCAAGGAGGAACAACCTAAGACAGGCACAGCCACCGGGGCAGCCAGCCAGGAGGAACTGGGGACAGGAAGTGCCCCCTATGGATGACTTGCTTAACCTTTGCTTATCTCAGCCTGTGACCTATGCTTTGAGCAACCTCCTGGAAACCTTGAGTCAGGGGACACCTGTGACCTTAGGCTACGTGTTCCGGAATTTTGGCCATTGCTCCAATGCCTGGGCAGTCATGTATAAGAAAGTAACTTTATTAGCTGGGCATGGTGGCGCATGCCTGTAGTCCCAGCTACTCGGGAGGCTGAGGCAGAAGGATCACTTGAGCCCAGGAGTTTGAGGTTGCTGTGAGCGAGGCTGACACCCTCACTCTAGCCTGGGCAACAAAGCGAGACTCTGTCTCAAAAAAAAAAAAAAAAAAAGAAAGTAACTTTGATTTTTTAGGGTATAAAAATAAAAGGACTGGTGCATTCTGCACTGCAGTCTCGTACCATCTTTGTTTTTGGTGTGTCTTTCTTTTTGTGTCTCTTTGTGTTTTGTTTTCATCCCCCGTCCTTCAAACGGGCCACAGCATTTTAGTTGTTTGGCTAATTTCTATCTATTTTTACTATTGACGGGGGTCTCACTCTTGCTCAGGGTGGTCTCGAACCCCTGAGCTCAAGCAATCCTCCTGCCTGGGTCTCCTAGAGTGCTAGGATTACAGGTGTGAGCCACCACACCTGGCCTTATCTGACATTCTCAAGAGGGCAAAGACAGAGGGGGACAGATGGTAGGCAGAGCAGAAGGGCGGGGTGACGACATCTGGAGCAGCTCAGGAGGCTTCCGTGCAGGGACAGCCTGGACCTGATTACTGGGTGGTTACAGAGATCCACGCAAGGGTCTTGCTCTTGCTTGGCCTCCCAGAGTGCTAGGATTATAGCAAAATTTTTATTCTTTCCCTTAAAGAGCCCCCAGAGTCTGAGCTTTCAGCCCCATCCAATCAGGGTCCATCCCTGAGGGGGAATGAGGATAGGAAGTGGGAGGGAACACTGGAAACACTTTGCCTCCAGGGGGCTGGGGTCCCCCACAGGGATCCCAGCAGAGGGGCATTCACAGGACCCCTCCCGCTTTGCAATCAGGGCCACCAGGGGAGACTAGTCCCACCGTCCGGGCAAAACTGCCGCTGGCCTGGGCCAGGCTGGTAGAAATGAGGCTGATCAAGAACATCTGGGCAGGCAGAGCGGGCAGCGCTTGCGGGCAGCTTTTGGATGGGCCTTGCAGGGGAGTCGTGGAGGACCCGGGTGTCTGGCTGGAGCACCAGGGGTCAGGGTGGAGCCCATCCTGAGCTGAGCCAGGCTAGGGGAACCCTGGGGGGAGCAGGTGGCCAGTAGGGTGCTGGTGGGAGCCTTCAAGAAGGTGAAGGTATTTTGCCCGAAGCCTAAAGCTCAAGACGTGCCCTGGCATGTTGGAACGCAGGCCCCCCGAGACTGTGTGTCCTGGGGGCTCCTTCCTGGCTCTGGAGGAGACTTCTGCCTGACGCCCTGTCGGGAGGGGCTGAGACCCCTGGCCCCATCCGAGCTGGGGTTGCCTTGGGAGCAACTTTGTGAGAGGAGCTGGCCTTTGTGAGAGGTGGAAAGTGCGCGCCCGGTGTCAGTTCTTCCTTCCAGCTGATGACCCTCAGAGATGAGGAGTGTGCACGTGCGAGACAGGTGAACATGTGGATCCTGTTTCAGTCTTTAGAGCCTGCAGGCCATGGCCCTGCCAGGAACTGATTGATGCCCAAGGCCCTGAACTGGGGCAGCTTAAGAGTGAGTGAGTGAGTGTGTGTGTGTGTGTCTGTCTGTGCCTGTATCTGCCTGTGTCTGTGGTCTCCGGGGTGTGGTGCTATGTCTTGTCGGCCTGAATTGGAGGGTGGGCTGAGTGTTAGGCTTCAGCGATTTCTCCCAGCAGGAAAGAAAAAGGGAGCAGAGTTGCACCCTTTCCCCTGAAACCGGTTCTAGTTTCCTGCAGCCCGGCCAGCCCGTCCTGCGCCTTCCGGGGAGCCGGTGGGCTGGCCCCCAGATTCAGACTTCCGGATCTCCTGGTGGTTCTTGGGCACTGCCACGAACCTGAGCTTCCGCAGGACCGAGGGCCAGCCCAGCAGCTGCTGGTCCCACATGTACTCGGGGGACAGCACCTTGGTGGGCTTGTGGTACAGCAGGTACTTGTTCAGGTGGCTCTCGTCGTGCCACACCGCCTCGATGCCGTTGGCGCGGTCGGCCAGCATGGCCTGGTGGCAGGCCTTGGTGAGCCGCTGCACCTCGGGCACCGACCCCCCGAAGAAGGCGCCCATGTAGTAAAAGTCGCCCTCGTCCCAGGGGATGTGGGCCTGGGACTGCGGCCGGCGCTCGTAGGTGAAGGCTTCGCGGGGACGCCCGTAGAAGGCGGGGTGCAGGGTGCCGAAGAGGGGCGACAGGATCTCCACGCCCACGTGGTCGTGGAACTGCATGTCCACGTCGGCGCACACCAGGTAGTCCACCTCGCGCAGGAAGCGCTGCTCCGCGGCCTCGCTGAGCATCTGCATGCGCCGCATGGACACGTCCTGCCAGCGCGCGTAGGGCCGCGCGCGCAGCACCTGCAGCCGCCGGCCCGGCCCGAGCGCCACGCGCGGCACCGCGTCCGGCCGGTCGGTGAACACGTAGTAGATGACGCGGTGCCCGGCCATGAAGTGCTTCTCCGCCGTCTCCAGGAACAGCTTCAGGAAGACCACGTACCTGCGGGGCGAGGCGGGCGGGGGCGGGGCTGGGGGAGGCCGCCCGCACCGGCCAGGCCCCGCCCCCGGCGTCTCTGCTGCCCGGTCCAGAGCGGCAGGTGCACAGCGCCCCGCGCCCGCGTCCTGCTCCTCTACTCCCAGGGACCGAGGGACCCCCGAGGGACCCCGCACCCGTCTGAGGCGGGAGAGCCGCGCCTTGGGAGCCTGGAACCTCGCTGGGGTCCGCAGGCAGCAGAGCTGGAGCTGGGCTGGGGGCGACCCCCTGCATGTGCCCCCTCCTGGGGCAAAGGCCCACCCCTGCCATCCTCCCCCGCTGAACAACCCCTGGGCACACAGCTCCCTTGGGACGCTGGGCAGAGCTGGTTGGACCCAGCCAGGCCCGGCCTCCTGCCCCCTCACTGTAAGTGGCTCCCGCGGCCCCGACACCTGTCTCTACACCCTGGACCTTCCTCTGGGAGGCCTCAGGTGCTTTGCCGGCAGGTGCCTAGTAAAGTGTTCATAGTCTTAAGTCGGGGGTCACTGCTGACCCTCCCATGTCTCAGGGACCAGATCTGGCACCGTGGGGACCCCAGAAAGGAGAAGGGGAGTGGAGGGCGGGCAGTGCAGGCCTCTGACATCGAATCCAAGGGTCAAAGCTTCTGGGCCCAGGGCAGGCGTCTCCTCTGACCTCAGGAAGTTTCTCCAACTGCCTCGACGGCTGGGCCCTCCTAGAGCCGTGTGGCCTCCACCATGGTGACAGGGGCTTCCCCACCGTCCCGCAAGGGTGCTGTGCCCCCCAACAGCAGAGAGTCTAGCCCAGGCACCGTGGCTGCTTATCCCCGCCTGGCTCCCTGCACATCCGTCCCCACGGCAGTGCAGGCACCGTGGCCTTCGGGGGACAGGTGCAGAGGGGCCCAGAGAGCCCGTCGCCAGCGCCAGATGTGACTGGTGTGAGCCCAGTCGTGGCCACTGAGGATGTGGCTGCCGGCTCGAGGCTCGACTGGGCAGGGCTGCTTCTCTCCTAGGGTGCTGGGGACGTGGGGACCAGCTGGGGGCCCAGAGGGGAGACAGACGGCCAGACGCAATGGCGAGATGGTGCCCTGACGGAGCCCCCGGGGGCTCTCCAGCCCTTTGTCCCTAGGAACTGGAATAGGAATTCCTGGGCTGCCCCCTGGCCCTTCCCGGTCCAGCAAGTCAGGTGCTCTCCTCTCCGGCATCGGAACCAGTCACAGGGGCTGCCAAGGCCCAGGAGGCAGAGCCTGGGAGGGAAGGACACGGCCCCTTCCACCTGCAAGCTCGGCTTCCCTCCGCACCCCAGAGCAGTCCCCGGGGCAGCCATGTCTCTGGCCTGGCTCCCCACAGGCTCCGAGAGTCAGGCTACACACCCGTGGCTGCCCTGCCAGCTACCTGTGAGGCGGCCTGACCCAGAGTCCCCAGGCTCACGGTCAGCTACCTCTCCTGGGGTCTGGGGGCAGGTGCTCTGCCTCCCCTGCCCCCCACCCCGCATGTGAGCACAAAGGTGAGGCCACAGCTCTGCCAGCATCCTGTGGCCATAGGGTCAAGGAGAGCACACAGGTGTCCCCCTCCTGCCATCGCTGCTCAGTGAAAGGGACCCACCTGGAGCCAGGTATGGAGTGGGGCGTGGCTGCTGCCTGCCCAGCTGGGGGTGGCCACAGGTACACAGGGGCGCACAGCACTAGAGGTGCCAGCGGCGGCGACAGCAGCTCCAGGGAAGGGCTTGGTCACCCGGTGAGCCAGGGAGAGCTCGGTAGGACGCCCAGCCGAGGACCTTTACCGTCTACCCTGCGGGCGGGCGAGGCTGGCGCCCCTTTCTCTCCTGAACACAGGGACGGACTCTGGCGGCCCGAGCGCTCGCCTACTTACTTTTTGATGGCAAACACAGTTAATCCAACGGTGGTGTTCTGGAGCTGGAACTGCACATTGAGGATGTCACTGTTGAACGTCCCCTCCCAGACGATGGGAGCCAGCCAGGGGGTCAGGACCAGGACGTCTGTCCGACTGCACAGGGAGAGACAGGGGCCACCCATGCTGACCCTGGCACCCGGCCACCCCACCCAGGGCCTCCGACACCCCTGCGAGAAGGACTGGCACTATTTGCTGGGAAACAGGTCCAGCCGGCAGCCGGGCTGGTCATGTCCAGCCTTTTCCCGGACAATAGACCCCGCTGGGCCACAAGGCGAGAAGCGAGACTCGCGGGTCAAGGGGCAGGACAGGAGAGGCAGTGCCGTGGGGGCCTCCCAGGCCAGACCCCAGAAGCCTCAGAGCAAGGGCCCAGCAGAGCGAGCTGGACGGAGACCGAGACGGAGGACACGGCTGTGAGCGTCGTCCCCAGCGTCAGGAAGTTCACTCACGAGGGCGTCAGCACCTTCGGCTGCGGGTAGGCCATCCTGCGAGCACAGAACGCAGGCGTGGGTTTAGTGAAGGTCCCGTGGGCCCCAGCCCTGTGTCCGCCCCCGTCCGTCCTCCCCGAGGACTTGCAAACCGCCAGGGAGCCCAGTGACCTCGGGCGCGTGGCCCTCCACTGGGCTCCAGGCTGGGGACGGCCTCCCGGTCGGTCATGTTTTAACTCACTGACGGGGAGAGGAGGCGGGGCGTGGGCGCTGTCCCCGTCCCTCCCAGGGAAAGCCCTCAGGGACCGTCGTCCACCTGGGCCTGCAGCTGCTCTGCCCCCACGGCTGGTGACCGCAGGGCCCAGCCTTCCCGTCCGGGAAGCGGAGGGGCAACCCCGCCTCTCGGCTGTCACAGGGCCGGCCCCAGCGGTGGCGCCAAGCACGGCTGTCCCTAAAGTTGACGTGGGCGTTCATCTGTGGCTGTCGACTACAGTCGACGCTGGTACCAAAGTGGTTAAAAAGGAAGGACATTCTGACACAGGCTACACATGGACGAGCTGTGAGCACGCTAAGCTCAGTGCCTGCAGTCGGTCAGTAGACTGTGCAATCCCACGGGCACCAGGCAGCCAGCGCAGCCACACTGGGCACCAGCCCACAGAACAGCGGGTGCCAGGGGCAGGGGGAGGGGTAGGGGTGGGGGAGGGGGTAGAGGAGTTGGTGTTTCATGGGGACGGAGTTCCATTTCGTAAGATGGAAAGTTCTGGAGATGGACGGGTGGTGATGGTTGCACAACAACGTCATGTGCTAAATGACACCGAGAAAAGTCACAGCGGAGACTGGGGAAGGAGCAGCCATCCTCCGTGGGGGGAAAGAGGACGCGTGCCGGCCCCCACGCACCCCCGCCCACACGCGCACAGACACCAGCGAAGACACTGTACCTGGACTGCGTGACCACTTGCAGCCTGTCGGGTTCTCTGACGGCCGTGCTATGGGATGAGAACACAGGAGACGGGGTTTATTCCAGGGGCAGAATTCAGGACACAGGTGTGTGGAGCAAAGCTGGGGGTCCTGAAAGAAGGGACAGGGGCGCAGTGGTGGCCTGAGGTGTGGAGGGGACCCGCCTGTGACAGGCACAGCGAGCTGTCCCGGGGGCGCTGGCCAGGGCTGCACCGTCAGATGCTGCAGGCCCCGGTCTGCCCGCAGCTGAGCCTGGGCAGCGTGGAGGTCCCAGAACACGTCTGCAAAGCCAGAGGCCGCCTCCTATCAAGAGGTGGGTTCTGGGCTGGGCGCGGTGGCTCACGCCTGTCATCCTAGCACTCTGGGAGGCCGAGGCGGGCGGATTGCTACAGGTCAGGAGTTCGTAAACAGCCTGAGCAAGAGTGAGACCCTGTCTCTACTATAAATAGAAAGAAATTAATTGGACAACTAATATATATAGAAAAAAACTAGCCGGGCATGGTGGCGCATGCCTATAGTCCCAGCTACTCGGGAGGCTGAGGCAGGAGGATCGCTTAAGCCCAGGAGTTTGAGGTTGCTGTGAGCTAGGCTGACGCCACGGCACTCACTCTAGCCTGGGTAACAAAGTGAGACTGTCTCAAAAAAAAAAAAAAAAAAAAAAAAAAAAAAAAAGAAGCTGCAGTCCTCCTTTCTCACTGTCATGAAAAAAAAAAAAAAAAACAAAGACACCAGGCATTTTACCAGCATTTTTAGAGGAGTGGTTTCACAGCTCACAGCCTAAGATGATTCTCGCAGAGATTTCTATGTCGATGCCTAGATCAGGGGATATTTCAAAGAAGTCAGTCCTAGAGCCTTTAAAATAACCATTCTTTAAAGAATTATCTCCCCATCGATCACCATTACTTCAGAACAGTAGCCTCTTTCACCATCCTTTCCACGGAGGGCGTCCTAAGGTAAGTTCCGGAAAGATCATTCTAGCTCCTGGGAAGTGAGTGGGGGTGGGGCAGGTGGAGAGGAGGGCGGCTGGACCAGGGCAGGCAGGACAGACGCAGCCCAGGGACCTGGAACCTGCTGACAGGTGGAGCGGGCGGGCCTGGTACAGCCCGTGTGGCCCGGACCTGAGGCCTGGGACGGGCAGGAGCCCCCAGAGCCGCTACCCCACCCGATGCCAGCACAGAGGGCCCCTCCCCTCCTTTGGCCCTACTCACCCGGCTCCCAGGCTCCCCAGCATGCGGCCTCCGGGGCTCAGGATCCCGTAGCTGGCGGAAGGGAGTGCGCCCCAGGCAGCGGCTCAGGACACAGCAGCGAGCCCGCTGTCCCTCCCTCCCTCCACGCACGGCCAGCACCTCCTCTGCACAGCCCAGGACACTCACACGCCCCAGCCAGGAGGGGCTCCGTGGGGACAGTGCTCTGCGTGCGGGCACCTGCGGCAGCTGCCGAGGAGCCCTGTGTGCAGCCAGTGCAGCCCCCAGCCCCCCAGGGACTGTCCCCTGGCCGTGTCCACGGACGCCCCGCAGAGCTGGCCCGTGACCCCCTCTGGTTTAGGACCTGCTGCCTCTGGGGGCCCACAGCTCAGGGCCCGGGCTGGCCCGCCCCTCTCCCGGCCACACAGGGGTGGCGAGTGACTCGCCCTCCCAGCCCCAGGTCCCTCATCTGTGCAGGGTGGGGGACACGAGCCCGCTGCCCAGGCGGAGCGTGAGTGACGGTCAGGCGTCTCTTACCCAAGGAGGACGAGGACCAGCGCCATCAGGAGCAAGATGGAGGGACGGAGCAGGCGGCAGTTTGGTTTTCCTGGAAAGCAGCAGCAGGAAATCCGATGGCTCCCCTGCCCCTCTCCCGCCCGCTTGCCCCTCGCCTGTGTCTTGTCATATACGGCCTGCGCCCGCCCCGCAGGCAATGCCGGACACAGCCCCAGCCTCTGCAAGCCCGGCTCCAAGAGGAGGGCCGACCGTCTGCTCCTCCCTGCTCACCCCCTCTTGCTCCCGTAGACCCTCAGGTCACCCGGCCTCCCGGTGACCTCTTCCCACTAAGCACCCTCTTCCCACAGGAGGCCGAAATGAACCTCGCTGGAAGGAGCACCAGGAGATCACTGCGTTTCTTTGGTTTTTTTTGAGACAGAGTCTACCTCTGTTCTCCCCGCCACACACACACTAGAGTGCAGTGGTGTCACCACAGCTCACTGCAGCCTCCAACCTCAAACTCCTGGGCTCAGGGGATCCTCTTGCCTTGGCCACCCGAGTAGCTGGGACTCCAGGTTCATGCTACCTGGCTAATATTTTTCATTTTTAGTAGAGACGGGGTCTCCATCTTGCTCAGGCTGCTCTTGAACTCCTGACCTCAAGCAATCCTCCCACCGTGGCCTCCCAGAGTGCTGGGATTACAGGCGTGAGCCACCCTGCCCCGCCTTTACCTCCAACGTTTCTAAATCCTATGACCATGGAACTATTTACCTCTTATAGCTTCCTGAAACAAAAGAACACGGGACGTAAAATTTGAAATTTACAAGTCTTAAAATTATTCTTTTCCATTTTTGTAGTTGATAGTTTGGTTGTAGGGAAATATAAGCGGAAATAATTTTCCTTCAATTTGGAAGAAATTGTTCCACTTTTTTTTTTTTTTAGACAGAGTCTCGCTTTGTTGCCCAGGCTAGAGTGAGTGCCGTGGCGTAAGCCTAGCTCACAGCAACCTCAAACTCCTGGGCTCAAGCGATCCTCCTGCCTCAGCCTCCCAAGTAGCTGGGACTACAGGCATGTGCCACCATGCCCGGCTAATTTTTTATATATATATATCAGTTGGCCAATTAATTTATTTCTATTTATAGTAGAGACGGGGTCTCGCTCTTGCTCAGGCTGGTTTTGAACTCCTGACCTTGAGCAATCCGCCCGCCTCGGCCTCCCAAGAGCTAGGATTACAGGCGTGAGCCACCGCGCCCGGCCCTGTTCCACTTTTGAGAACTTTTTAAATCAACTTCATCGGAGGTATAATTTACATCCAATAAAATGCACCCATTTTAGGTATACAGTTTGCTGAGCTTTGAACACAGTATGTACACACATGACCACCACCCCAAACAAGATACACAGGTCCCTCACCCCATGAAGTTCCCTCATGCCCGGCAACCGCTGATCTGCCTGCTTAGCATTTGGTGCAAATACACTCGTATGACACATGTCCTTTTATGGCTGGCTGCATTTGCATGAAGTGGTATTTTTAATCTATGTTGTTGTACGTGTCAAATTGCTCATGCTTTTTATTGCTGAGTAGCATGGCATTGTTAATAAGCCACAACTTTTATCCTGTCACCTGTTGACAGACACTTTGGTTTCGTTCCTGTTTGGGGCGACTACAGATGCAGACAGTATGTGCAGGTATCTGTGTGGACATAGGTTTTTATTTCTCTTGAGTAAAGACCGGGGAGTGAAAAGGGTGAGTCATATGCTAGGTATATGTTTAACTTTGAAGAAGTGCCATTGCTTTCCAGAGTGGTTGTAGCATTTTCTATCCCTGCAGCAACTCACGGGAACTGCAGTCACACCAAGTTCTCCCCACCTGGTCGTCTGTCTATTGCTTTTGGCCG